GCCTTAGTTAAGGACTTGGGGAGTTAAATCAAATCTTTAAACATATATTTATAGATTTCATAAAGATTTAGAGTTATTGGTTAGAGTTTGGACGAAAACCTATGTAGACATTTGATGATTAAAAGTAATGTGGATAGTGTAATAGTATTGTTTATGTGTTGGGATGTTATATAGAGTTAATGTAGTGTGTTAAAAAGATTGTTCGGGTTAAATTGAGGTTTTGAGCATAATGGGTACCTCTAATTGTATTATAAATGGGGTGACTAGTGAGAGAATTTGACAATTAAGGATTTAATTGTATATATTAACCTTGATCGGGCATTGTGGTGCTAGTGGACATGTGTAGAGTTGTTAGTTGACCACAATAACCTTTTTATTGTTTAAAAGGTTGAGATAACCTAATTGTCTAATCTTTCTTTTTGTGTGTTTAGATGGTAGTGTGTTCGATTTAAAAGTTATGTTTTAGTTTAATACTAATCTATTAATAATATGAAATCATAATTGTGAAGTTATGTGAAGTGGAGTGAAAATTTGTTTTAATGCTTTTGTATTTAGAAAGCTAAATTTTATTTTTATGTATAATTACTTGTGAAATTTTATGGCTTATGTGAAAATGAGCAATTTTGCTAAATGATATATTATGAATATATGTTGGATGTATTAAGTATGTTTGGCATGATCATTATAAGAGGGTGAGAGTTCACCCTAACGTGTTATCAGGACATTATTGGAAAATTCATATGGTATATTGGTATCGTGAAGGCCCCAGTGCTTAGTATTATATTATTTAAGAGTCCCAGTACTATAAGTGATAGATTGGGCATCAACACCCCTAGTAATTGTGGACAGGGAGAATTTGTGGTATAGAGTGGGCGAAGGCACTTTTAGCTGAGGGTGCCTCCTGTTAATGGTGAGTTTAGGCCAATCCAGTCACATGAACTTGATCTTATTGAATTGTTAGCCTACAGATTCAGTCAGAAGACATAAGGAGGATATAAGGTGGTGTGTTGATCATGGATATCACACTATAACCATATGTGTGGATTTATGAGACATGTTATATAATTTATTATGCCACTTTGCATACGCACAAACTGTTCTCACACACTAATAATTGATTAAACTATTTGATTACTAAGTCTTTGACTTACCTTGTGGTTACATTTTATAGGTAAAGGCTCTAATAAAGGCAAGGGAAAGGAAGGTACAATTGAGCATCAAGGGGACTAACTCTAAGTTGTATAGTTCTTACCTTTATTTTGGTTTGTAACAAATATTGAATGTATATGCCAACTTAGGACATATTTATATAATTTTGTGATGAGTTGCATGATTTCTATTGTGAATGTGGGTATCTCAACCTAGGTGTGGTGTATCTATGTTGTAATGGCTGTGAGAGGTTGAGATATTAGTACAAGTGTTAGTTTTGTATTGATTTACATGATAGATTAGCTATTACAGTGTTTATAAGAACTTGTTACCCCTAGTGAATTTATGTTGAAAATGAGGTTTTGGTGTCCAATTCTTGTTTGAACAATTGTGGTTATGATTTAAATGCTTGAACAAGTTGTTTGTGGTGTATTTGAGTTAGGACAAGTGGTTTCATAGCTATTGGCATTTGGTTTTAGGAGTTTAGGCACCTTGGTAATGTTTTTGAAAGAAAATGAACCATTTTGAGTTCTGGTGTCCAAATCTCATTTGACTTAGTGTTTAGATATGGCACTAATGCCAATAGTTAGGTGGCTCTAAGAGCTACATGTGGAAGCTCGAATCGCTCAAATTGAACGTTGAACGATGAACTAGTGTGCTCCGAAAGTTGGCCCCGGAGAGCTATCATGACAGCACGCTGTAGCGCGAGGCACAAAGAGGGAACATTCCCCTCTATGCAATTTGCCACAATGAATGATGCATTACACCGCAACGCATTATGCCTATGTGGCTAAATATTTTTTATGCTTCCATTGTTTTATTTAATTGGCTTTAAATCATAGTTGAGCTCAAATGATCTTTTAAAAAGGATTTTCTTGAGATCCCATTTTTCTTAAATATTCTTTAAACCCTTATTATGATGGTCATTTGTCTTTGGATTTGACTAATCCCGATTATTATAACGTTGTTCCATGTTTGGTGTTCTGTGTGTTTGATAATGTTAGGGTGATGTTACACAATTTACCTTCACATTCACCCGAGATTTTTGATTATGAATGTTTTTGTAGACCTCATTCCTCTCTTTCTTGGTGTTTTATAGAGGAGAAGTTTGTTCTCTCTCTGTCACTTTAGTACATCAGACATAATAAAGCTAGTCTAGAGAGATCTACTAATGGCATTATTCTCTCTCAAGCCTTATGGCCCTTCCCTTGTATGTAAGGCATCATTTAAAAACCATAATAACAGCACCTATATACTTAGTTTAGTTTACATTTGACGTGCAATTAAGATAGTTGACAAATCTACTAGACTCACATCTCCACATCTTAACTTTAACTGTGTAATAGCTATTGCCCCTAGCAACATCATTAGCAAAGGTTTCCTCTATGCCTAAGGTACTAAACTAGCTGAGGTTCAGGCTATTGAGGCCGTAGGTGAACGTTGCTGTGCTCAATATAGAACCTAGGGATTGTCATGATGATCACATTGTCGTATCTACTCTTATTATTGGCATTTTAGTTTTTGAACTATGTGGTAAAAGTGATGCTATCATTGTTAGTGGAAACATAGTGCGAAAGGATAGTAAGTATCATGACGATCACTTATGGCTTTAATAGTACTTAAGCTTTTATACTTTCTCTTGATTGAATTAGATCTAAGATTGACAGCAAGGCATAGAGGTGGAGACTTGCCAGTTCACGTTACACTATCCCAAACTCTCAATCTTTATGAGGAAGCAACCCTATAGGACATGTCAGAGGTTTCTACTATAGTTGTAACATACAGAGTGGTAAGAGGAGCTTCTACAAGCTGCTTGCATCTAAAGGTGTTAAAGTAGTAGAGTTTGACATTTTAAATCCCTAAGATGTTATGGGTATTTTAATGATTGTAGGTATCTTTCAACTTTATGAGAATGCGAAGGAACTTTAGCTGTATTTGCTATTTCATCTGGAGTAATTCACAAGGTTTTATTTATCCTTACTAGCTTGTTTTCTTTTATTAAGAGTGGATTAGTGTGAAACTACCTTTTTTAAGTCTGATTGAGTATTGATTGAAAATTTTTGAACCAAACCTAAATGATAATCCATAATTTTATTTCTTTGTTACAAAGGCTTCTCATTTGATCCTTTTTGTTTATGAATTGTTAATAAAAAGGCTCTCTCTCTTTCTCTTTCAAAATTTCTAACCTTGGTTGAAGGGTGAAAAATAGTGAAGGCTGATCTTTTGTAGTGAAGCAAGATTGAAAATGATGGTAAGAACTTTGATGGCCTGTTATTAAGGCCTATGTGCTATGGTGATGTTGTTTGTCATCAATTGTATTGTGAAAAGCTAAAAGGAAGTTAGGAGGTTGTTAGTGAAGGTGATATCCGTTTAAATTAGGAGGATGTGAATAGCGTGTAGAAGTTAGTAAACAATTTGAATGAGGATGAGTTGGGCGGTGGATTGGAGGTAATGGAGCATGAAATAGGATGCCTAAGATTCTAGAGCTTGTTCTATTAAAGGATGAGGAAATGAGATTGTATAAGTTGTTCATCAGAGGTTTAATTATGAAGTTTCTTGGCAGGAGGATTGGGCACAGAACATTAGAGAGCTGATTGTTAAAGCTATGGTCTAAGGTAGGGGTAATTATTGTAATTGATGTTTAAAATGAGTTTTATGTGATTAAATTCGCAAATCAAGAGGATTAATAAAAAAGGTAATAGCCATCAATGTTCCACCATTTTAATCCAAAATATATATATACTTATTTTATAATTTCTAACTTTAAAATAAATACATATATACTTCTTCTATACAGATTGCTTGCATTTTTGTTCTTTTTTTTTTCACTTATTAATGCTTATTGGAAATGAATATGCATAATTTTTAGTTATAAATATGAATTAAAATTAAAAAAATTAAAAAATAATAGAAACGGTTCAACAAATTTTGCCCATTAATTTTGCTAGTTTTTACCTGTTCAAAACTAATTTTTCATCGATTCTTAAGCTAAGTAGTTATGTATTGTAACAAAACCGGGTTTAGGACCAATTCTTAGTTCAATTAGTCAATTCAGTTCAATTAGTCGAATCAGCCAATTCGATTCTTATAACTATGGTATAAACAACAAAACATTTGGCTATTGACAAGTTATCATACATAATTAACAAGCTAACATTCGTTCATGAATAAATTATAAAAATTAATAGGCCTATTTAATTTTACAAGTCATATTTCAATATAAACAACAAAGCATATGGCTATTGACAAGTTACCATTCAATTATAAACAATAAATCAAGCCTATAAGTTTTTATAACTTGTTTATAAAGGAATATCTACTTATTAATTATGTATGGTACTTGTTAATTTTTGTTGTTTATATTGGAGCAAGCCTTACAAAACATTACGTCATTAATTACGTATTTTCCTCTAAAATCTTATTTTCAAATATGTCCTTGGGCTGCAATAATATTTCAGATTTGTAGGGTTCTTCTTGATATTAAAACGCTAGAAGCCCCTGCAGGGTCCTTAGATGATAATTTTGTATGGTTATAAAATTTTAAAGTATTATTACCAAAAAAAAAATTAAAATCTTAGTTGAAAAAATAAATAAATTTTAAGTATTATATAGATGATTGAGGCAAATTTAATATAAATTTTCGTATATTTATTATCACCGTGAATTTTTTTTGGCCTGAATTAACACCATGAATTAGGGTGAAAGTGGAAACTCAAACGCATACATACATACACTTGACTACTTTTTTTTTTTTTTTAATCAAGACACTTAACTAATTATTTTATTTTTATTAAAAGTTCTTATGAAATCATTCTCCAATGACCTTTTTGGCTCTCCAAGAATTGCTTGTGTTTGTTTCTGTCTATAACAGGTCACGTCCCCAAGAGCGGGTTTCTGGCGATCTTTTTTGGTTGTTGGTGGTTGCGATTATTTCTCTGATGCAACTTGTCGAATTTCATTTCTGCACCGCCCCCACCACCCCTGAACCCCCCAAAAATAACAGCCCTCACATTCTCTTTGATTGGATTTGTTACTTTCTTTTTTTCCCCTATCTTCATTTCCAATCTCGATCTAAAGAAGACGAGCGAACGATCAAACTGCCCTGCCTGTGCCTGTCTGTATATTTGATTCTAGAGTCGCAGATTTCCCACTGTTGATGACATTTGCTGATGTTCACTACGCAGATCCGCGCCTTATGCCGTATCTTTTCAAATTAACGATACGCAAAACAAGTAAAAGCAAGTGGGAGTTGTTTTAGTTGCTGCCTCATCTACAAATTGGAGCTTCTCTTACTGAATACGGGATTGAAGCGCATATCATATCATTTTGGTATTTGCTGAGGAGTTGTGCGGTTGTAACCTTTTCCTTCGCTGTTATTTCAATTATTTACGGGTGAGCTGGCGGATTATTTCTAGAATACTGCCTCTATCTGCAGCTTCTCAAGGTTTTCCCCTACTCTTTGTGACGGATCCGTCAACAGAATATAGGAGGTGCGATTGCTCAGCTGGTCTGGAGTGCATTCTCAGCATTCTCAGGGCCCTCAGGATGGGGTCCTGCTTCTCTGCGGAAAGCAGGAGCCCACTTGCCACTTCACCTTCGGGTATCAGTAGACGGAAGAACTCTAGAAGAAGACTGGGATCAAGGAGTTCTTCCTTTGACCATTGGAGGGATGAGCCCCTCCATAGAATACCGGGGAGGCTTTTTCTAAATGGGTCTAGTGAAGTTGCGTCATTGTTCACTCAACAAGGCAAGAAAGGCACCAATCAAGACGCCATGATTGTGTGGGAGGTTAGATCTTTCTCCATTTCCGCATGTTGGGTGTTGATAGTTCTTCCTTTTTAACATAGTTAAGTTTACGCCGGACAATATGTTAATTATTGTCTATCTAATATCCTTTGCGCCAATTTTTCGCACTTTGTTCGGATGATTTGCCTTATTCCCTGTAAAAGTTATGAGCACCAAGGATGAACTGACGAAGGATATCGTGGATGAATGGATTCCATAAAGATCAAGTCCCTCCTTGTGGAGCTGGTTGTTTCGGGAAAAGTTATTCCTTTACTATATGTTGCCCTATTCGTTGTCATTTACTCTTATCCTCCTGCCCCCCCCCCCCCAACCCCAAAAGAAGAAGAAGAAGCTAATATTGTATCTCTCGGTATTTAAGTCATGGCAATAGCAATAATTGGTGCCTCTCACTTGGTTTATCCTAAGCCTGTTTTATATTTTTCCTGTTTTAATTTATTGTGTATTGCAGAATTTTTGTTCGAGAAAAGATACCATTTTTTGTGGAGTTTTTGATGGCCATGGTCCGTTTGGTCATATGGTTGCTAAAAGAGTGAGGGATTCTCTTCCCCTAAAACTGAGTTCTCACTGGGAACTTAATGGAGCTGGTGAAGAAGTCCTCAAGGAGATAAGCATTAATACTACAGGGAGTATGAACTCAGAAGAGGCTACCTTTGTATCTGCTGATGAGGAATCCAGGGCATCCATCGATTCTGAGGAAATGGAAAAGCACCCTGAGATCTTTCGGACACTTAAAGAGTCATTTTTGAGGGCATTCAAGGTTATGGACAGGGAACTGAAGATGCATCCAAGTATTGACTGCTTTTGCAGCGGGACTACAGCGGTAACTCTAGTTAAGCAAGTAAGGGCTTGTAACTTTAGGAACATTGACAATTATCTTATGCATGCTATAACTTTGGTGGATGTAAATCATTTCTTTTAATAATGATATGGTTTTCATTGTAGGGTCGAGACCTTGTTATTGGAAATGTTGGCGACTCTAGAGCTGTTTTGGGTACAAGAGACAAAGATGATTCCCTTACAGCCGTTCAATTAACAGTTGATCTGAAACCCAGTCTTCCAGGTTTATCTTTTTGACTAATTCTTATATTTTTTCTTCTTTGACAGTGACTTAAATAAGGTGAATGAAGTGTTATCATGTTAGCATTTTACCACTCAAGTTCAAATATGTATGAAGTTACTGCTTACTACTTATCTATCCTAACAAAAGTATGTGACAGAAAGGCAGATTGGAGAAATCTGTTCTAGATCTGTACTTTGAAGAAATAATGTAGTTGTCACAGGTCCCATGTATTACAAAGGTATCTCTGTCATGCCAGGTATCCCTTTATAGATCTATCAAATACAATGAAGTAGTTGAAAGCAGCCAATTATGTCTTTCCCAATCACTGATATGAATATTGACATCATCTCTATAAGTTTTAGCTAGTGTATCAGATACCTGAAGTCTCTACTCGTCTAGTTTTCTGAAACTGCTATGCTTATTTACCTATGCTGCCCGCGCCCATACTTCTGTGATATTTTGAAAATGTTATTTTTAGTCAGGCTAAACTCTTCTATCCATACATGCTGCTATTCTAATTCGATTTGGTCTATAGTTATAAAAACTTTTTAGCATTTCCAATAAGTAACACATTATTGTCCCTCAAAAGTAAAGAAAGCACGCCAAACTTGGAATTTATAAACGTTAGAAGCTTGTTTTGCTTGAATTATGTCTGTATTGACATTATGTTTGTATGATAAGTTTGACTTGACTTATATCACTTGCAATTTATCATTGATACAGTTGGTGGAAGCTATACTTCATTGATAATGGCATCATGAGTAGCAAGGCAGTAGACATTTTTAGCAGACACTGAAATGACGCTTGTGCATATTAAATTTAGGTGAAAACTGCTAGGGATATTTGTTGAACTAATATTGGGCATCACTTAACAGTTTAAGCTTTTGAGTTGAAGTTTTTGATGCGGAATTAGGGTCTCAGTGACAACCAGTCAGGTGTTTGATCGTGTCATCTCCCATACTTTGTATAAAATTATGTTTTAGCACAATGGGGATAAGTATGTGTGATGTTCATGCTTCAACCCCATGGGTTAATTGCATGAGTGGGCATGCTGCAGATGTTAATAAAGCCAATCCTGGGCCTTCACTTAATAGCTTAGATTTTTGGGTTGAAGTGGTTCTTGATGACAGCTTTTAACAATACTGGCCACATAGTTGTGAATATCTAATTGACAAATTTGCTATAAATAATACTGAACTGGGCCTTGCATCGAAAAGGCACTTCATCTGTTCAGGCAGAGAATACATAATGCTTGATTGACCATGGAAAATGTCTGTTGAGTTGTTGTGATTGATATGCAATGCAACTTAAAAAAATTTGTGTGCGAGCCAATAAATGTGTTGGGGTTAACTTGTGATGAAGAACACAATTTTTGCCATCCTCCCTTTCATATTGAAGTTCTTCATCGTTCCTGCTTGTGTTGGTTTAAAGATTGGGTGTTCCATTTTCAGGTTTCCTTTCTCACATATGCGATCTCAAACATGAGATTACTGTTTGATTCCTCTTGGTATGTTGTCTGAGAGGGAAAAGATTTTAGCCCATATATAGCGCAAATATGGTTGACAGGATGCCTGCCTTATTTAAATAGTTGGCTTATGTCTTAAATAATTCAATGGACTGGAATTCTGAGACTTGCTCATGATCACTAATAAACGTGTATATTGTTGTCTATTGGTTTTAAGATTGTAGTTTACCAGAAGTTTTGCTTTAGTGGTCAGTTTATTACGAGTTTACATATTGAATCTTTTAGTCAGCCTTACCTTATGTCCTTTTTCTCTTTGACAGCCGAGGCAGAGAGAATTCGCAAGTGTAAAGGGCGTGTTTTTGCTCTTCAAGATGAACCTGAGGTTGCCCGAGTCTGGTTGCCCAACAATGATTCTCCCGGCCTAGCCATGGCCCGGGCATTTGGAGATTTTTGTCTTAAAGATTTTGGGCTAATTTCTGTTCCAGAAATATCCTATCGACGCCTAACTGAGAGGGATGAATTTGTTGTCTTGGCAACAGATGGGGTAGCAGACATTTTTTTTTAATTTCAATTACTAGTTTAATTTGACGTCTCCTTACCTCTGATTTGATTTAATTTTGGCAGATTTGGGATGTACTCTCAAACAAAGAAGTTATTGACATCATAGCAGCATCACCAGCACGTTCTTCCGCAGCCAGAGCGCTGGTTGAGTCAGCAGTTCGAGCTTGGAGATATAAGTACCCAACTTCCAAGGTTGATGATTGCGCTGTTGTTTGCCTATTCCTTGACTCGGACTCGCCAAAACTATCTAGCGCATCTCATATCAATTCTAAAGAGCAGCCTAGTTTAGGAAACCAAATTGACCCAGATGGCGGTGAAGACCTTTCTGGACCAACTGTTCTGGGAAGGTCAGGAACTTGCCGGGCAAGCAATGAAGAAGCGTCAAAGGAGATGGATGCTGAGCTAGAAAAAGAGTGGTCTGCTCTTGAAGGAGTTTCTCGTGTAAACACACTTTTAAATCTCCCAAGGTTTGTCCCTGGCGAAGAAGACGACAAGGCCGCTGCTGGGATGAGGAGACGCAAATGATTTAACTTTTCCTTCTATTTTTTTTAATCATTATACATACATTTTTCCTAATTTTAGTTCTTTACCTCGTTTTCAGCCATCGACTTTGGTCTTTGAATTTGGATTGGACACTGGAGAGGATAACCGGGCTATATTATTGTGTCTGGAAATCTGTCCTTTCTCTATTGTGTGGAGGATTGTAAATGATAAATTTTGTAAAATTGGAATCTCCGTTATTCTTCAAGATATTTGGCAATTTCTGATGTAGGAATTGTTTGTTTTCTATCTTTATCATCCATTCATTATAGCTGACAGCTAAAATTATTATAGTGACTGGAACAGCGAGGGTTGGTCTCGGACTGTCCGTCCTTCATATGGATTTGTGGTGTAGGCAGTGCCAGCAGCAGGCTTATGCTGTTATGCATATGGCGTGAAAAAGGTGACCTAAACCCCACACCAACCGCCAGCCCTTCCACCCCCCCCCCTCCAAAAAAAATCATTTATTCCTTATAATTTTAATTTAATTATAATTCAATTTCTAAAGTTTTGATTAAATTATAAATCAGTTTTTGAATTTTATCTCTTATAATTTAGTCTTTAAAATTTTAATCTTTTAAGCATTAGTCTTTATATTTTAAAAAATAAAATTTTAAAAATTAAAAATATTTTAAAATTAATTATTAATATTTTAAATTATTAAACCATTTTAATCTTTATAAATATTATGAATATTAAAAGTTTAAAATATTTTTAATCTTTATAATTTTATTTTTTTAATATATGAGAATCAATATTTAAATGTTAAAATTTTAAATATTAAATTGTAAGAGATAAAGTTCAAGAATTAATTGATAATTGAGTTAAAATTTTAGAGGTTGAATTATAAGAGTTAAAATTGAGAGATAAATTATAATTAGTTAAAATTGCAAAACATCCAAGAGAGGTACCTAGCCCAAAACTAAGAAGTTAAAGGACAACCCAGGGGCTTGAGATCTGGGGCTCTCTTTCTTCACTCGGATCCTCAAGAACTCCTTGAGGCGTCGTGTCATATAGAGTGAGGATTGCTGAAGATCATATTTTTAAGACGGAAGTTCTCATTACATTCCTAAATCCCAAGTCCCATGCAAATCTAAGACCATTCAGCGCAGCCCATTCCTCAGCTTCATAAGGACTACATTTATCCAGAGAACAAGAGAATCCAGCTAACCAATGTCCCCAAGTTTAGTGGTGCTCGCTGTCAATGTAGCTTTCCCAGTGTTGAAAATGAAAATTTTTCTTCGAGCTTATGACGTCCAAACCGCTCCTTTTCACGCAGGAGGAGGAGGAGGAGGAGACACTTCTCCCACCTCCCTCAGGCTTTAACTGGGGTTGTGCTGGAGTGGCGTAGAGCCCAGTTCTAACAGTCCCATGATTCAGGAAATTGCGGAAGAATACCCGTTCGAGCGTAATGCTCGTCTCGTTGGCAACGAAAGTTGCACCGCAGGCGCCATCTCTAGACTTGGCTGGCTGGTTTCTGGAGGGATATTGGCCACTGGGGCGTTATCCAAGGAAAAAAGTAATTTGGAATTCTAGATCAGCCAACTTAAAATTAATGACCCCCCCCCCCCCCCGATTCCCGACACGTAGTAATTGTGTGTGATTGATTGTTACAAGCAAAGCGTAAATGAAGGCGAATGTGCCTTGGACTGGAGTGGATAATTTGCAATAGTAAGCACGCACTCTAGCAGCGAAAGTATATGGGGAAATGACAATTAAGGATTCTATAAGACTATTAATTATAATAAAAGGTTATAAATTATTAAAATTCTAATAATAAATTATGGTTTTTATTTATAATTAAAAATATAAATGAGTTTATAAAATTACTTTTGAGTACTCAAATTACTATTATGAGTTAGGATTGTTATTAATCTCAGTTAAGAAAACTAGAATTTACATTGAGAAATGAGATTAGCAATGGTTCTAACATATAATAGTAATTTTAGTAATCCCAACCTATAACACTTGGATCCTGATTTTTTCAATTAAAATTAACAATAATCACAACTCATGATAGTAATTTTAATAGTGTCTTTTCTTGATTTTTCAAGTGATTTATTTATACATTGACAAGTATGCAAATTCATAAGTGATTAGTTTCATATTCAAAAGTGTTTTGGGCAAATTTTCAAATGGCTATCATATATACATAGATCTTTTTCAAAAGTTTACAAGTGAATTTTAATTTCATATTAAAAAATAACTCATTTTTAAATATAGATCTTAGTTTTTCTAACTAAGATTAATAATAATCTCAATTAATCACAATAATTTCAATAGGTTTTTTTTTAAGTGAGAATAATTTTATAAATTCACCATAGTCCATTATTAAAATTTCAATAATTTGGAGTCCCTAATTACAATTAATGGTCTTATGGAATTCTTACTTGTCATTTTCTTCAAAATATAAAGATGCCTTTTTACCAATTTCAAATATAAGCCACCGATAACTACATTAGATATTGAGAAAATAATTTAAAATATTAACTAATTAAATTTTTTACCAAAACGCAATTTTTAAAAAAATTTATCCTTATTAAATGATTAGGTAAAAGAGCAAATTACCTTTTAAATTATAGATCCAGAGTCATTTAGGATCCTAAACTCATTTTTTGTTGAATGTTCCCCTTCAATTTTTAAAAATTGTTTAACATAACCCCTATTATTAATAAAAATTAATTTTAACTGGTAGTTGATAAAAATGAAAAAAAAATAACTAAAAAATTACAGAAAAAAAAGAAAATTTTGTTGGTTTTTTTTTGTGATTTTTGAAATTATTTTCTATCAACTTTAGTTAATTAATAATTAAAATTAACTTTTTTAATAGTAATAATTAGATTGTACTATTTTTTAAAGTTTTAGGGAACATTGTGTAACTGTGTAACACCCTCAATTTGATAAATAAGGAATAACTTATTTTATATAAAACTCACTAAGTTAACAATGGGACCTCAATAAAACAACGTAGGCTTTCTTTCAAGTCTATAAATCATTTCCATAATTAATCTCAAAAAATTAAATAGATAAAAAATACCTTAATAAACATATTATCGCCTAGCCCACGATTCAATAAAAATACTTTTAAAATAATTGTAGAAGACCCAAAATACCATATTTATTAAAATGTTCCCAAAATTAATAAAATAGTAAATTAAATACTCAAGTCTAAATTATGGCAATAAATAAAGTAAATTGAACAAGTATGATATAAGACAATTGAGTTATCGCCCACTTTCTAGTGGCTTTTCTTGTACTCCAATAGAACCCTCACCTAAAAATTCTAAGAAACACATGAGATTTAATATCTCAATAACAAATAGATACTCTAACCTATGCAAACAAATCAATACAAACTTAGTTCACAATTTATATATATAAGTACTTTTGCAATTTCGTTTTGCAAACTAATTTCACAATTATGAGAATATAGTTTTTACAAGTAAATAAGAAAGTTCACTTATTTAAAATGAGGGTTAACATGTATTTTCTCCTTATACTTTTTTTAAGGAGTGCTGGGCACTCTGTACTAATAAGTAGGACATTTTTTTTCTTAAATTATTTTTTAAAGGAGCAAAAAACTCCCTCCGTTAGTGATCCCGTTAACAGATTGGATATTTGATCATTTAAAAAATGGTTTAGGAAAAAATGTCATTTATTATATAGGGTGTCCAACGCTTTTCGAAGGAAAGTATAGAGAGAAAATGCACTTTAATCCTAATAATAATAACAGTAATATTTTTAAATAAATTATAAAAAATGACCTTATAAAAAATTAATAATGATTGAGTTCTTTGAATATTTTAAGTAATTCTCCATAAATTTTTTTGTCAACAAATGATCCTTTTTCAAAATATTACACTATCTAAATTTATTTTTTTGGTATTTTGCAACTTTGCATTAAAAGGGAGGGGATGAACCTCCAAATAAATAGATAAAATTAATATTATCTTCTTAAATTTGTAACTTATTTTTTTAATTTTAAAATTAAAAATATATTACATTATATGAAAATACCAATTAAAAATAAGTAATACTTCAGTTCTAAATATCCGTTAATTTGACATTAGTTAGCCAAAAATATTACATAAAATGACATAAAAATTTAAGAGACTTTATCAATATTAATTTTTTTAAAAGATCATCTTATTAATAAATATTAAATATTTTAATAATATTTATTAAATTTTAGTTTAATAATAAAGGAGTTCAAAGATAAATTAGTATTAAAGGACATGCCAGGCTAACAAAAAATGATAGAGTTAACGAATTACTAATGAAAGGGTATTTTTGCTCATGAAAAGTGACTTAAAGAAAAATGATTCACTTATTAATATAAGTTATTTAGCGTTTCTTGAAAAAAAAATATAGAGAAAAAAATACAGTTTAACCCTTAAAATAATCAAACAAGTGATGCAAGCCCTAACCCTCTTTATAGCCCTCCTATCCTTCTTATATTGATAGGCAGAGTCTAGATTGAAGATATACTTGATCAAAAGTGTATTGTCTAAAGAGGTAGACTCTCTTTCTTAAAAAGAGGTGCCTTATGTCACATAATTTTAAATTAAGAAAAGGGGCATTAATAGAGAACTATCCATCGTGCACTAAGTGAAGATATACCACATGACTTTAATAAAATAATAACCTCCCTTTATATCTCCCATAAATCACAATATCCACCCTCATATCCCTTTCAACTGTATCACATTTACAAGATTATAAAACACACAATCATATTTGAAAGGAGCAAAACATATTTCTTATATAAGTTTAAATATTTACAAATATACTTGAAAAGATTTGAGTAATAATATATAATCATTTATCGTCAAACTCCAATCCAAAACACTAACATAGTTGAAAATAATCAAAATAATATACACATCTCAAGAAAATGCACAAGCATGCTAGAAGGTTTAAACACATGTTCCAGTTTTGATCCAAGCAACTAAACAAGTCTTCAATGGGCACGACCATTCTTTTACAGTTCACACATAGATATACAACAATAAAAATCAACAGTTTCCTAATACACTTAAGTATAAACTATTGTTGCCTCTTCTCCAAACCAAAACTACAAGTGCAAGAGCGCTTAATGCTATCAGCTGAAATGTTATTCCAAAATTTATAATAATAAATGTAATTTATTAATACATCTATAATATAATTTATCTATAAAAATTAACTCTCATGGTTCCTATCGTTGCCCATTAAATCACTAAACTTATTTATCTCCCGACTTAAATTGATTTCTATGAACTTTTATTCTTTTTTTTTCCTCTATAAATTTAATAATCAACTTCTTATACTCAAATTTACCTTTAATCATTATTTTCGGCTTATTTATAAATATATTTAATACCTAGAGAAATTTTCCATGCCTTTAGAATATAAATCAGTTGAAAATTATTTACCGTCTCTCATAACATTAAATCTAACTCTAGAGCAATTAAAATCAGCCATATAAACTCTTAATGTAATATTTTTAGCTCTTTAAATAGCCCAAAAATCATTTGGCAACACCTCAAAAATTTAAAATCCATCTAGCTCTGTCTTTCTTTTCCTAATTAGAACCCATAAATATAAAAAAAGGAAAACAAGAGAATGAGCTATGGCCAGCGCTGGTTTTGATATATATTTTTATTTTTTATTACTTATTTATTTTACATCTTTTAATTAATTTCTTTTTTTTGTTTTTTTAAAACTTTATACATCTAAACGGCTGGTGTGAGTTTATATATTTTTCTTAAATAAAAAAAATCTATTATTTATATAATACGCTAAATTGAAACACTATCTTAAATTCTTTTACTTCATCTCATCTAAGTTTATAATTTTTTTTATCTTTTTTCTAAAAAATATATCTCTAAATCAATTTAGAGTAAACTGTATTTATTCAATTAATTATCTAGTAAAATCTAATTACCAAGGAATTTCATTCCAATCTTATTTAAATTCAAAATTAAATGATTGGAATATTTCACGTTACACAAAAAATAAGTTTAAAATCTCAGACGTTCCTAAACTATAATTTAAAGATCAATTTACTCTTTTACTTTAAATGATTTATCTTCCTTTACAGTAATTTTTTTGTTGAGCAATCTAATAAGGGTTATTTAAAAAATGCATTCAATGATTCAAATAATTTAAAAATTTACTCGTATATCCCTATTTGAGAGAAGTAACAATACAATAACTATATATGTTTGTGTGTGTGAGATTTGGGTATTTGTCAAGCTCAATTAAAATAACTCATTTTTTGCATTATACAGATTCGAATCCGAGACCTCGTATTTTATAATGACTAGTGACTTGTTTATTCTTACTCTTCATTTCATGTCACAATAACATTCGATTTTAAACATCAATTTGTTATATTTATGCCATTGAAATTTTCAATTAAATTATAACAAGGCATGATTTATTGCATTGCAATAGCAATAAAAAATAATTTAAGTGAACAATCCATTATTTGCAAAAATCACACTACTCTGTTTTTAAATATAAAATAAATTACTATATATTTCTTTGTTTTTATTTATAATTAAAATTATAAATTTTAAAAAATATTTATCATTTTTTTCAATTTTTCTCTCATAAAATTAATGTTTATTTCCACCGTACAAATTTGTTTAATTAATTACAAGGATAATTTTGGCTAATATTTTTTAATTTTAGACAAAATTATTATATTTAACTAGCCTTTTTAAATTGTATGAATTGACTATTTTTCTGTATATTTAAAAACATAAGGAGCATATGCATATGTGTGCGTAAATTAATTATTTTTTTATATTTAAAAATGATAGGAGAGCGGTGTCAATGAAAACATAAAACATTATATTTAATTCTTTCATTTTTGAACTTCCAAAATTTTTCTGGCAAAAGAAATGAATTGAATCTGCATTTAAATAAATTTATAAAATTATAGTTTAAAATGATGCAACACAAAATTATTGTAATTTCCCTACCATGCAATTTAAATTAAGGGTTAAAGTACATGAAAGTATTTACATTGGTGTCCTAAAATATTAAAAAATATATTATTTTTTTAATAATTTTTTAGAATCATATAATTTTGCTGAGTTAATAGAAAATCATATTCCCTCCATTAAAAAAATATAAGATATTTTTTAAAAAATTAAATGTTCAAAAATATAAAATATTTTTAATTTTTTAATGTGTAATTTTTATTTTTTTTAAGTGTCTCTATTGATAATAATTTTATATTTATTATAAAGTATTTAATAAAAATAAATATAAAAAATAAAATTAATTTAAAAATAAATAATTATTTTACTAAGAGGTGATATTTAATTAAAATTATTTTACTTTTTTTTTTACGGAGTATAATTTTGCTTTGAGTTAATTGAAAAGACAAACGGTGTTTGATTTGTCATATGAACCTATACAATGATGCCACGTAATCAAAATGATCAGCCTAGTTGATTTTTTAATCCTTTTATTTTCTTTTACTTTTTTGACTTTTCAACTATAGACATGGCCCAAGGAGAGCGGACCTTGGAGAACTCTCATCAATAAAAAAAAAAACATTATATAAAAGTAAATTTAGAATTTAATAAGCAGATTTTATTTTAAAAGTTAAATTGTTATTTAACTTTTTTTTTTGAGGATCTTTTTAATCCTTTTATTTTCTTCTCTGGAGAGCGCTCCTCGTCTCTCTTTTTCCTTCCTTTGCAGTCGTATCTCACCGTCTTCATCCTTGTGATTTCCAGATCTTTGCCTTGCAGTTATCTTTCTTCTAAGCCTCTATTTTTTCTGTGCCTTTATCTTCTTTTCTTCATCTTCTTCTTTATCACCTGTTGCTTCTTTCCTCCCTTTTCATCACCACTTCCCCACCGACTTCATTCTCCTCTTTCACCGACTTTGTTTTTCGTTTTCTTTAATTTGTTTTTCCTTCTTCTACTCTATTATCTCCTTTCTTGTTTGATCTTATTTACTTTTTTCTTCCATGTTTTGTTTCTTTTTCGCCTATTTACCTTCCTCTACTCCCTTTTATTTTTGTCCCTTTTTTTCTTCTTCTGGGTTTTCTGCTTTTCTTAATCCCTTTTTATTGCTGTTTGATGCCATGTTTTTGGTGTCTTGTGGATATCATAAAATGAGTAGTATCTTTTGTCTCAGGCTACTCTTTATGGTGTTTCTCTGGTTTTTGGGTGTCTTGTAGGCTTTGTTCTAGTTTTTTTCTTTTGTTATTTTTCCAGGTTTTATGTTCGTCTTGTGTTGGTTTGCCATGCTGATATCTGTTGGTTGCAGAAGCATCCCTGGTCTTTGGATTTTGGGGTTCGAGTAGCAGAGCTTTATGAGAACCTTTGGTTCTCCTTTCAGTGCCTATATGGCACCCTTATCCAACTCAGTAGATGTTTTCATCTCATGCTGATGGATCTTCTTCCTTCCAGTCCAAGCTAATGTTTGCTTTTGCTCGTCTTTGTCAGGTTGGGCTGTTGGTGTTGGCTGCAATATGGGTGTGGGCCGATATCTTGTTGGAAGACGTGGCAGTGGTCAAAAGTTATCCTGCGAATGTGGCATTAATATGTGGGGTCCATCAATTACCATTTTAAAAAACTAAATTTATGCCCTTGCGAGGTGCGGGAATATTTTACTTTTTAAAAATTTAAATTAAAAATATTTTAACATTCTTAAAGTAAAATATATTATTTTTTTATTTTATCTTAATTATAAATGTTTTTTATTTTTAAAATTTATATAATTTTTTTTAAAATTAATCATTAAGAGTTATAAAATACAAATATATCTTTTATTTTTAAGTTTTCATTTTTTAATCATTGACTGACAATTACTATTTTTGATATATTCTTTTAAATTTTATTTATATTTTAAATTTATTAGTCATACAAACTAATTTATTTAGTATTTTATAAAAAAATGAATACATATTCTATCTTTTAAAAAATGTAAGGCATTTTTAATTAACTTTCACTTTAATAAAATAGTTACTTGTCTTTAAATAAAATGGTTACTTGTCTTTAAATCAATCTAATTTTTTTCTATTTGCCCTTATTTAATAGGTGTTTTACTTTAAAATAAATATAAAGTAATTTTTTAATATGAGCACTTTTGAAAAAAAACAGCAATGATTATACCTTAAAAAAATTAAAAATATCTTATATTTTTTAATAGAGTGAGTATATAAAATTTTTTTGTATATCTAACACCATTATTTCACTAAAAATTTTATATTTACCATCAATTTTAAGTATAAAATCTTATATAGTCTTTGAAAATATAAAAATCTTATTATTTTTTATACCTTGTTTAAATTTCTAAAATTTATAAATGTAAAGCCCACTCATATTTTTAATGGTAGGTTTTACACACACTTTTTTAAATCACACTACTTTAATTTTTAAAAAATTAAATTTATTAAAATATTGCATTCTTTCTATTATTCTTAGAGCTTCAATTCACACTATGTTTAAAATATTTGAACACATAAAAAATTTATAGCTAAACATGACTCTTAACACTCTTATCTTTTAAGTTTATTTAGGCTAGTTTAACTATTCTAAATTATCAAAAAATATTTTATTTTATTTTTCTCTTTATTGAATTCATACACTGCATTTTTAAATATCTTTTTTGTCCAATTTATATATTTAATTTTTAAAAAGTTACAAAATAAATACATGTAAATAATAAAAAAATATTTTTTGGTCATTTTAATGATTTTTGGACAACATTTATATTTAAATAGAGATATTTTAGTCCAACATAAGTGACTTAATTATCAACTAATGGTTAGATGGATGAAAATAAAATATTAAAAATAAAAGAAAGACTTGTATTTTATAACTATCATACTAAAAAATATTCATATAAGTTTTAAAAAATAGAAGAGAGTTATCATTAATTAAGATAAAAATAGATAACATATCTTTCTCATTTTCAAATATAAGTTTCGTATGTACTGTATCCATCTAAAAAATAAAAAGAAAAAAAATAAAGAAAACGTTAGATTCAAAACAAATCTTTTTTTTAAAAAAAATGAAAAAGCCAGATGGTACCAATTTTTTTTAAAAAATGAGAAAGTTAGATGGTAACGTGGATCTACAATCCATCCGACAGTGTTATAATAGTACAAGATAAAAAAAAAAAAAAAACTGGAGGCATTTTTGGTAAATCACTGTTTATTTACTATTATAAGACATCCCAAACTTATATAGATATAGATGCTAATGCAACATCACATCCTTAAATTATTTAGGATACTGATTGGCTTTTGTGAAAACTTTTGGATAGATAGAAGTGTATTTTAACACTTAATAATGATGAAGTCATGAAATTTTTTTATGATATAAAGTTTGGTTAAAGTGTATTTTTATTCTTTAATTTTATATAAGGTTTTAGTTTAATTTGTTAATTTTATAAATTATCTTTCAATTTTTTAATTTTTAGTCTTAAATGATTATTTTTTATGTCAATTTTATTATTTAAAAAATAAAAAAAATTTAATATTTAAAAATTTTGTCAAAAAATTTTGTTAATGAAACTAACATATCATAATTAAAGGATTGAAAAAAACTTGTAAAATTAAATGATGAAAATAAAAAAATTTATAAAGTTAAAAGATTAAAAATATATTTTAACCTTTGGATCTCCATTCAGTACGATGAAATAATTTCTTTGAGATTGGAAGAGAAATGAGAATAAGAGTAGAAATGGATTTAAAAAACATGTATGGCAATATAATTTTTTATTTAATATAATATAATGATAAAAGACTAGACTACCTTGAAGCTAAACTACCATCTGGCTAGTTGAATAACCTGGAAAACTATCTATCGAACTTTCAAAAATCATTATGACAATTTTAATCCAAACCATCATCATCAACAATCTTACAAATTATAACAAACTTTCATCAACGATCAAGAATTCAATATCAGAGAAACAAAAACAAATTCAAGCAAAGCTTTGGCAATTGGGGTGTGGTGATCAACCAAATCCACGAGATCTACTAGATAAATACTTTGGCCAAGATACAAGAGGGAGCATCATCGAAAACGATAAAGACAAGTTTGCATATGATAAACCAATCGAAAATATTGAAAATTTATTTACTTGCATTGAACATTGAAATTGTTAATAGATTGATAATAAGAACTTAAAATTATTTGTAAAGAAGAAGCCGTACATATTAGCTCAGCCGAACATCTGCACATTGTCAATTCTAGCTTAATCGAAAATGTGTGCTCATAGATGTAAATCGCTGAAGGGAAAGATCCGGATGCATGAAAGCTGAACCTTGAAGGCAAAAACTCCCCTCCTCTGTACTCTAACCGGTCAGTATTCTATCGCCTTTGTAACCGCTATCACCTTCAACGCCGATTAATCTTATCCGTCAAGTCTTCATTAATGGCAATGATGTTGCATCGAACTCCCTCACCCCTAGCTTTTTGTAGTCGTTCTCGGACAAATATTGGGTCTACGGGAAGAAGGCTAGACAACAAAGAGTCAATCGAGAAGAAGGTTGGACAGCAATGGAAAAGAGAGTTTGCGGCTGGATATAAAGTAATCCTTACTAATTCACAAATAATTTTAAAACCAAGCTAAATGTATGCCTAATACATAAGGATTATCAAATTTTCAAACTTGTAAAATATTTCAATATATATACTTTTACAAATCACAATTCTGAGTAAAATAATTTATGAAAATATGAGATATATTTTTATAACAAAGTATTTGTATTTAAATTTAAAAAGAAAAGCTTATTACATCAAAATACGAAGGTGCGCCGTGACACGTTTCGGCCATGCATGGCACATTGCACATTTTACAACAATTGAGTTGTTAAATGATAGTTTTTAAGATGAACTTTCAACGTATCTCGTTTCTCCTCTATTTTTCACTCCTTAGTATTTTCAACCAATTTTGAGTCCATGTCACTCCAAAAAGGTATCATATGCTTATGTAATGGTATTTTATTCTAATTTGAGTTTATTAAATGACCTTTTAACTATTTTTAAATTATAAAAATTTGGGATTCTATTCTTACAAAATTACAAACTTGGTAATCTAATTAGATTAGTTCAATAATTGTCTTGAATTTTGTGTTAATTGTAAATTAGTAAGGATGATCTTACATCAAGTCCCTCCAAATATAATGGGATAGTCACTTGTCAAACAAATGAAGCAATAAATGTTAACATATTTAGGCAAGCCATCTAGCTTCAAGTGATGACCAAACTATGTGGATTTTCAATTCATTACTCCTCTTTTAGGCAGACTCCTCACATAATTATGTAATGCTCAAATACAGCATCTCATAACATGCATATATTTCCACAATGTGGGCATGCCTAAAATAATCATAGCACTCATCATACCATCACATGATAATCACAGCCTCACGTCACAATTCATCATTAAATTCCACTTTGTCATACTCTCATACATAATCACGATTTTCCCATTATTCATTACAGTTCCTATTCACAATTTACAATACTAATCATTTAATATTTCATGATTTAATCACACATATGGCTAAGTTAACATAGCAACAATTAATCATTGTACCACATTACTTCATATCACAAGTTCAAAACACAATCAACTCTTAAACAAGTTTATAAGCCAACATTGATATATGACTATTAAAATGTCACACACCATACTTGCATTGGGAAATTTCACACATTTCAAAAATAGTTACAAGTTTTGAAATTAATTAACATACCAAAATGTAAGAAAGATTTCTCCAATTATCTCAAATCTTTAAAGAGTCAAAGATTTACCCCTTAAATACACACTTTTAAAGCTTTACAAAACTTGAACAGTTCAAATTATGACTAATCTACATTTAATTATATTAACAATCATCAATGTCCTTATTAGGATAATTTTCAATATCAAACTTAACACTTTCAAACTCTCAAAATCATAATCTCTCACTTTTAAATATATATATTAGGTTCATTAACTCACATTAACCTTATTGTACTCCCGACCAATCATTAATGATATTACATTATTCCAACTACCACATTTATTGTGGATTTTTTGTGCATTTATGGCTCCCTTCCAACTACTCAAAATGAGTAAAGCCATAAATACTAGGTTTATATTAATTAAATCACTTTTATTAATTATATTTAAGTTAATAAATTTGGACTTATAGCCTTATAAGTCCAAAAATTAGCTTCCATAGCAAATCTTAACTTCCAAGCTTAAGAAAAATGGAAGAGGAAGGAGGATTTAGGTTTAGAAAACTTATCTCTAATATTTAAAGTTTCACATACCTCCTCAATGATGACTCAATTTGTACCCTAATAGAGCTCTTGAGTTCCTCTTTCTTTTCCCTTTTTTTTCTCTGACTTTCCATTTGTTTCGTGTTTTTATTTTTGTAAAAATGCGACCATCACCATGACATGTGGTACAAAAAAACTTGAATCAAGTTTTGATGACTAGTGTATCATGACATGTGACACAGAGTTATTTTTCTTTATTTTTTTCCCATTTTATGGTTTGGGCAGTCCAACTTTGCCCCAGACTCAATTTTAGGGCTGACATCACTATTTAAAATATCCATTAGCTCTTTGACCTCGTTTAACTTAGTTAATTAGGGTTAATTTTTCTAATATCTTACATAGAGAACAGCTATGGAAAAGGCGTCAAAGGGAGATGCAAAAGTTGGAGGGATAGACTCGTGAAATTAAGGCAAAAATGATAGGGTAGTTGTGTTCATAAAATAATTAACTAAGAATATTTTTGTCAATAAAAATTTATTCCCAAGAAATAGATTGTATTCGTTTGGGAATTATCTCATTTAAAGTAATGGACCATTCTATTGGAAATGGTCATTCCTATATACCGAACGCCATTATCTGCAAATTTCTTACTTCTAAGAGCCCTGAATGCAATTTTCCCAACGCGATAATAGGTCATTTTTTCCCCTCTTCCCACCTACCAAACGAAGCCTTAGTTTTAATGAAATGAATGGATCAAAACTTTAGAATTTAGGGGCACTATTTGATGCGCAATCAAGTGAAGGCGCGGGAAAAAAGAGAGCCTCTAGTTCTGGACTTGGGGTAAACGTAATCCAAACAAGAGAGATCTCTGGCCGTGAGTCACAAGTCAGGCCGCGGAATGAGCAGAAATGTCTGCCCCTCTTTCTTGTTGTGTCGCCGTCCTCTGCCACCCCTTCCATCTCCAAGATCTGCAGGGCTCCCTCTTTCCTCTCTCATAATCATAATCACTCTTTTTTATTGCGAGGTTTCGCCACTCTTTCCTTTATTCTCTCTCTCTCTATTAAAAAAAAAAAAAAAGACTGGCCATTCTTAACCGAAAAAAATAAAAATAAATACAACTTGCCAAAACTGTAGGTAACGATTTCCTTGCAGTTGCCAATGATGCCGATAAGATTGTTGACGGTATCGACTTCGGTGAACTATGCAATGACTTCGAGTGCATCAGCAGCCCCTTGGTGGAATCTACATCAAGACAACTTGCTCGCGATATACTTGAACTTCGGGATGATAACAGAGCTTTTGCAACTTTGGCTATTTCCGTCAAATACAGGGTCCTTTGTTTAATTTTACGGATTATTTCCATTCTCATCAATTCATTCACGCATCCCATAATTTTGCTTGCTGAGATTCTTCCTAGTTTACAGGATCCTTTGAGGAGCTTTATTGGTCGCGACAAGTACAGAAGACCGCTATGGGCCAGGGATGCCCTGAACGATCCCTCTGTGGTTAGTCTTGGGTTCTTTCTCGAGACATCCGACTAACTTCGATGCGGAATACTTTTTAATTTTATGTTGGTTACATGGTCACAGAGCTTGCAGGAAATGGTGATGCTGTCGACCAGTGTACTCTGTATCAAGTGGACAATTAGAGGGAAGCCTAAATCTTTAATTGGTGGAGTGGCGGGGGATCTGATACTAAGGGTTACTTCCCAATTTACTCTTAACCAAATTAGTGGTCAAGTCATTGAGCATGAAGAATTCTGGGATTTATCTGCTTCGCCCGCTGTTGCTCAGGTATTTTTCTGGACATCCCGTGCGCTTTTTGCTGCCGTTGAATCTGGAAAAGATTTTCTAGATATCGCCAAAGACATGAGTAATCGCCTTCCAACCAAAAAAGGCGACATAGAGATTGATCCAGATCCATCTCCTGATCCAACCAAGGTGACTTTTCCTACATCAACCAACTCATCACACTTTTCTAAGCTCGTTCTTAAGTTTTAACCTGACGCTATCAGAAATGTTTTCCAGTTCTTCCAGAGGGACGACAGCTTTCAGCGAGACGCATACCAGATTGCACTATTTCTGGCAGTTCTTTATTTTCTAGTTCAATTTCTGAGGACAACTTTGTAAAGCCTGCCTTGTCAATACTAATCTATCCAAAAATTATCATAATAACTAAAATTGCAAGCCTGTATTCCTGAGATTTACAGTTACCAAATCAATGTCACCCAACACAAACACCCAGTTAAACCGAACCAGCAGGGTAGAGAATAAAAACGCTCGGAAGTTCTGGGAATTCTACTTACAATACAGCCAAACCAAATGAATGCCATCGCTCCATATTAAAAACTAGTTAATAAACTATTTAGCATGGTCATTAGTAATACAACGAATGTCAATATCCTTCCGATTAACAAGGCGGAAATTGAGGAAATATTGTGTGCGCCGACTGTATACACTGCTCCAGTTGTTTCGTCCTTCACTTTAATGCTAGAAGAGCCTAAAGGACAATAACAAAAGGTTAAAAAGGTCATTCTTGTAAACGCAAACATGAAAAACAATAATCATTTCAGACGAGAGACATGATAGCTACAGCAAATGAAGATGATTGGCAATTGGCAAAGCTCAATTAAATAATAGGTTTACCCTAATTAATATTGCTTATTTTATTCCACAATGTGCAAGAGATTTCAGATACTCCTGACATATTTGTATTTGCTACTTCACATGCTTTCTTTCCCCCATGATTTGACCATGTTGGTCTATCCTGTTTAGTAAATATGCTGATTTATCTGTTATTTGTTTGAGAAACAATGATCGAGTTACAACAAAGATCTAGTTCAAGCTAAATTCTGCATGAACAAGCCAAAAGCGAACTGGCTTGATTAGCATATTCTGACCAGGGGTCTTCAGAGAAAAATCTGCTAAGGCGGTAGAAAATAAACTATAATGCTTGCAGATATAAATTAATTATTAATGAACTTATATATAAAACATGAAGTGCTGCGAACAAAATTATTAAATTCACAATCATGGCATGGTGTCACAAGGCCGTGACAATGGGCTGCAGAGAGTGAATGTTGATTCTCGTCAAAGAGAACTCAAAGAAAGATCTAAGTGGATATAAACTTAATTAGGCATATTCGTAGATGGGGACACATTAAATCATAACATAATAAAGGAAAATGAGAATTTGATGAAAGGTGACTTGATTCGTTACTCACAATTGAATTCTGTCCATCCAATGGCCATATTTTCTAGATCATATATGACGAGTCTATTTGAAAGTACCAAATCTGTAATCAGAAACAATGCAAAATAAATAAATAATATTAGAAATCACTGCGTAAAATTTGTTCGAGACGTTTAATTCTAAACTGTACCTCCGAGAAGAGTCATATCCTTTCCGTCCTTAGTTTGTGCCTCACTCTTCTGCCACCCAACACACCATACATTGACCTAGGGCACAATTAAGGACAAAATCATATCCAAAGACATCAATAAAAACAACAGTAAACTACTCTCCCGTCTCGAGAGAGATGTCTTGGTCAACATAAACTCAAGGATAAGATTTATTTCATTTATAAAAAAAAAATAACCTTTAAAGAAATTACCATAATTTTCAAAATTTTATCGAATTCATGGAAATTCTTACGTTACTGATATGTAGTCAATACACGTGGTATCAAGGAACTTAAATATCATTAGTTATTATCTTATAATTGGATTAATTTCTTTAAAAAAAATAATTTGAAAATACTTTCTGTTTCTTCCCAAATTTATTTATTATCAGGTAATTTTAAGGGAGAGTAACAATTGAAGACCTTGTGAGAAGATTAATGTAAAATAAGAACTTTTAAGTTGTAAATATAGACGTTTGAGTTATAAATTTCAAAGCTTCAGATCCTCATTTTATATTAATATTAATTTTCTTCCAGGACCCTTAATTGTCATTCTCCCTAATCTTAAACTTTGATATATTAAGAAATCAATATCGTTATATTTTCATCAGAATGAGTGTGATTGTTATTTATTTAATTTATTTATTTATTTTTATTTTAGCGGATCTATGGGTACATTCTTAAAATAGAAAATTAGAAATAATAATCATTTAATTAAACATCTCTTAGGGAGGAGAATATTACCCTAAACAATATATTAAACACACCAGCAAGTACTAAATGCAAAAAGTGCATCTTGCTCCCTTGCATGATCAGCCCATTCCTTGTCACAGGGGAATAAACATGAATGATAAGTTTCCACTTACACGGATCTGGAACAGATAGTCGTGCGGATAAACTGTCAGAGAGACAGATTCCTCAAAATGAAACTTGACAATTGGAAATCCATCATCAACACTGCAAGAGAACAATGGACAAGTAAAGGTCTGGAATGTGGATAGTAATTTTGCCTCCTTGAACTAATTAACCAAGGAAAAAACTTATACTATCGGAATGTTACCACTTACCAGAACATCATTTAAACAACAATCCATGCCCAGCTACAATTTTTTTAAAAATCTTGAAAATCATTTTTCATCAGACTTTTTATTTTGTATATGTTGCAACAAGAAAATCAGATAATTCTCAGAATGTAACCATATACAGCAAGCTCAATAGTTACTTGCCAAAGAAAGGAAATACGATAAAGTAACTGAGAAGCTCAAAACGGAATGACAAGCACCAAGAAGTGAGATCGCAGAATAAATTTTCAAGAACTTGCTTCCAAATTCCAATTCCTAATTTTTGTCTGTTAACATAAATCACATAAAGATCATGTGTGTCAAATAATTTCAGATTGCACTTCAATGAGAACCTAATTAATGAAATTCAGGCCAACAAATTGCTCTACGACATAGTTTAATTCATCCCCAAGTCAATAGTTTGACCTATAAACGGCCCCTGCTGTCTTAGCCGAATGTCACTAACAACTCTTATCTGTTTTGCTTGTCCATCTATACAACTTTACTAGTATATTGAATCTTTTATGGAATTTAATTAAGAAAGAGTGTGAAGGAGAGAGATAACGAGAATCAGAGAGATTGAAAGAAAGAAAAATTTGAACACGCAATTCTTATTAGAAATCGAATACTAACATAATTAAAAATAACTTAATCAGGTATGCTATTGCCTCTTGTTTACAGGCATTCTCTAATATTTTAATCTATCCAAATTATACTAATATAATCAAATCTTATCTAATCGTCGTAATAATAGAATATATCCAAATCCAATTTAAATCCTAACTATGACGGCAACTAATTCTTAATTCTTCTCTTATTTACAATCACATATCAATATCCCTCCCCTAAAAAATTCTTGCCCTCAGTCAATTATACAGAAAATTGTATCAAACCAGACCCCAAAGCATCCTACTTAAATTCCATCTGAACCAAGTCAACAAGAACGGACATTGATGGCAAGGAAGAAACTAAAATATATGTCCTCATTGACAAAGTAGCCGCTAATAGTGACTGAGACTGAAGAACAAGCATTGGTAGAGATCTTAGAGCAGATGATAGACTGCAAATACTAGTTAGTAACGAATCCTGGTTGAAATAATCTTGGGACCCATGAATGAAGGAACTGGCGTTGACATCACTCTCAACTACCTAGAGATTTTGGCCCTTTTTGATAACACTGTCACATTTTTCTTGGGTGCTGGTCAAAAAAGACCCGCCATTTTCTTGAGTGACAGAACCTTCTCGTGTCACTGGATACATATCTTGGATTGATGGTAAGGAAGACCCATTTTCTTTGTGATCGGCCAAAGCTTTTTGCCTCCTTCACAGCCTCCCAGTCATCAGTTGTCACACAAGGAGGCTACCTCCTCCTTATTTCTTCTAACTGTCAGCCACACTCTGAAGTTTCTCCATATCAAACCCCAACCCCTTTGGTCTGAGGAAGGACAGCTCCGATAAAACTGCTATGGAAATTGGTTGGGAAAGAGAAATGGGGGAGAGAGAGAGAGAGAAGACAAAGGAATAGAGAGTAAGAGAATAATTTGAATAATTCCAGTCTTATTGAATCACAGATCAAATCAGGTATGCTGCCCTTATTTATAGGCATAAGTCCTAACAGATATAAATCTTAATAGATACCCTAATTTTATCTAAATATTCTCTTGACATCCTAATCTATCCAAATCATACTAATATTATTAAATCCCGTATAAATCCTAATTATAGAATAATATCGAAATCCTATTTGAATATATTTAAATCCCAACTAATATACCAGTAACTAATTCTTAACTCTGCTTATTTATAATTACATATCAGAATCATATCATTGATAACCATAACATTCAAGTAAATGTTGTTCAAATTGTAACCTGACATCATCAAAGTGAGGAACCCAACATGGGTATGGGTCATATATAGGTGAGAAAGAAAGGCAAGTTCCATACCAAAAGCAGCAAGTTTCACATAAGACAGAAAATGAATAGTGCCTGGGAGGGTGGCGAGCATGAGAAGGCAGGAGGGGCAGAAATGGAAATACCCAGAAATAACTAACTTTTACATGTGAGTTGCAAGGTGGGCGTGTGGAGGGGAAAACTGAGAGGAGAGTCTTATTGCTGTGATACAACCTAGCGAGTCTAAGGAGAATTTTGAGAATTTGGGACCCTCTACAAAGGCAGGAATCTTTCTGGGGCCACCTTCTTTTCCTTATTTTGATTTACTCTCTGTACTTATATAGGGTCATTCCTTCCACTCTATTATCAGAGCGGAGGCAGTAGCTCAACATGTATTTATAAAACCTGGGTTTTGAAAGTTCCATCACACATCCAATGGACCAAAGGACCAAGAAAATGAAGCTTAGTTTATCCAATAATTCACCCTATATCCTTTGTCTCAAGGAAACCAACAATGATCAGGGAAAAAGAAAGAGACAATACACCTTAATATCTACATATAGTAACTAAAGCTGCAAAAAAAATAAGTGGAAAATATAGTAATTTCTTAACTTTCCACATGAAGCGAGAGGAAGTGGCAAAGATTAGTATCGTACTTTCCCGTATACTGAAAACAAGTAAACTGATCCTCAACCAGATGTAGTTTCAGTCCAGGCTGTTGAGCCATAACCTAATGTTAAGAACAATCATGAGTCTCAAAGTAAAATAATTGATTCAATCAAAGCTTAAAAGGTACAATTACCTTGGTCATTAGTTGGTCATAAACTGTATCAGGAAGATATGCCAAAG